ACATATTTCATCTCATCATTTCAGAAAGCTGAATCTTGGGGGGACATTGAGATTACATCTCCACACTCCCATTTTGTGCTAAAAAATCTGAACCAACCTCCAAACCCAAAACCTAGATCTAATTTTTGTGTGAAAGATGAGTTCAAGTCCAAACATGGTTCCTATAGTTGTTTACTACAATGGGAGGCATTTTGAAGGTCCGAACGGTGTCCGATTTGAAGGAAAAACAAAAACGATGAAAATCAAAGTGGGCACTACATGCAATGAACTGAAGGAGAGAATTCTTCAAAAAATGGGGTCAGAAGGCATACATTCCATCCACCGCATGATAGTCAGGTTAGAGACTGTAGTGGATATGGATACAATATACTACATTGGAAACGATATAAATGATGATGAAGATGTGGAGTTCGTAACAGATGCGTTTGTTGAATGGAAAGTATTAAAATATATTGAGATATATGTTGAAGTTGATGTTGGACAATCTTCATCTTTACCGGTGCATACAACCACTACTGCACACTGTACCGGTCAAGAAGATACAGTTGTACGATCTTCTGCACCTCCTCAGGTAGCATGGGATGAGGATGAAGAGGATGAAGACGAGGACTATGTGGACAGCGAAGAGGAGGGAGAACCTGAAAGTGCTATTCCAGAAGGTGATTCGTCAGACACTGATGTGGACGGTAATTTTGAGGCTGACATGAGCGCCGTAAGTCTCGGTACCCCAGCCTTGTCACCACTTCATGTCGACCCAGTCAGTAGTGGTAAGTTATTAAATTTGAATATTTGCTTTAGACAATTTATTATTTGTGGTAAGTTATTAAATTTGACATGATCTTTAGATGCAGGGTCTGAGGAGCCATTCTGGAATGAAAGCCAACATTATTCATTCATTAACTGGGCGCACCCTAATGACGAGTTGGAGATCCTATATGGCGATGATGACTTGCACGGAGGTTGGAAGTTAGGAGATCCGTTATTTGTGCAACAAGAATTTGGGTCCAAACCAGAATTGCAACATGCTGTGAAGATACATTGTATGAAGGGGCGCAGGACAGCCATAGTTGAAAAAAGCGACGAGTCAAGATTTGTTATGAAGTGTAAAAACCATGCTGACGGTTGTCCCTGGTATATGAGGGCAATTAAGCCGAAGAAGGGAGCTAACTGGGTGGTCCGTAAATGGGGTCAAGGTCACACATGCCTAAATCAAGGCCTAGCACAGGATCATAGACAGTTGGATTCAAATGTCATTTGTGCGGCTATAATGAGTATGTATTCTACTGTTTATTTAATGATTCAGATTAATTGAGAATATGGTAAAGTTAATTTTTTTTTCCAGATATGTTAAAGGAAGATCCATCCACAAGACCAGCTCTGATACAGGAGAGGATACAGGGAACATATGGATACAACATAACGTACAGGAAGGCCTGGAAGGCAAAAATGAAGGCCATCGTTAAGTTGTTTGGTGACTGGGAGAAATCGTACGCATTCTTGCCAAATTGGCTAAAGTATATGACGGAGGTGAATGTGGGTTCTGTGTTCAAACTTGATACAAATCAATGTTTTGATGAACGTCGGGTTTATACAGACAGGGCCGTATTTCAAAGGGTTTTTTGGACATTTCACCAATGCATTGAAGCATTCAAACACTGCAAGCCTATAATTCAAATTGACGGCACTCATCTGTATGGAAAGTACAGAGGTACTCTATTGATTGCAACATCTCAGGATGGAGATGGATTTCTGCTCCCTATTGCCTTTGCTGTTGTTCCTCCAGGTGAGTAAATAATTTTGCTTTGGGGTATGTGAAAGCATGTGACCCTTCTTTGCCACTTCATACTGTAAATATTTTCTGAGCTCATCCCTATTGACTTTGTTGTTGTTCCTCCAGGTGAGAGGTTGGATGATTGGTCCTGGTTTCTTAGCCTTTTACGTTTTCATGTCACACACAGGCATGGTATTTGTCTAATATCCGATCGTCATCGAAGCATCATAAGGGCGGTGAAAGACCACGGAGGGTGGCAGCCTCCATATGCTTATCATGTATTTTGTCTACGTCACATCGGAAGCAACTTCAATACCCGTTTTAGGAATGTGGAATTGAAGAAAACGTTGATGAAATTAGGTAATGTACGGTATAATTACTCACATTTTCAACCATTTGAAGAAAACGTTGATGAAATTCACTAACTAATGCATATGTCATGGTTTTTTGCAGGGTACACATGTTCAAAGATAAATTTCGACATTAGGTACAAGGAATTTATCGAGAACAATCCTGAAGTTGCTTCATGGTTGGATGCGATTCCGAAAGAGCAATGGTGCAGGTCGTATGATGAGACAGGACGTAGGTTTGGTCATATGACAACTAACCTATCTGAGTGTGTGAATAAGGTGCTTCGTGGAGTACATACTACCCGGGTAACTCGTAATGATATACCCGAGTACATACTACCCGGGTAGACTATTCGTGGTACCCGGGTAGACCAGTTGCAGATGCTGTTGCAGATGCTGTTTTGGCAATTTTTGTTGCATTTTGGTAATTGTTGTGCAATACCTACATACGGTATGACTTGGGGGTGGATTGACAATATTAATGCAAGGTCCCATACTAATGCATAGAACCAACAAGTCTGAACGTGCACAAAACGAAAATTTCATTCATTCAAATTTTGAATATCCAGTACAAAAACATCCATGCAATGTAGGTAAAGTTCCTAAATGTACCAAAATGACTACATTACATCAAACTAAATCAATGATATGAAACCCTATGGACACACTAATTCGATGCCGTGTCCTCCCCATTCTCTTCATCCGATTGTGTGTCATCCCCATTGTCATCATCCTCCTCCTCCTCCTCCTCCTGAGTATGGGCACCCTCGCCAATTAAACCCTCCAAGCGTGAAACCCTTGTGTCCAACCGTGCAACCCTTGTGTCCATCTGGTTTCGCCACTTGCTCGTGCTCTGTCTATATCCTCTAAAGTCAGTAGTCAGATCATATAAGGATGCCATGACATGATCAAGTGTCCATCCACCCTCAGGAGGAGCTGGTGGTCGCCGACTGCGGGTGGGACGTGTCGGTCTGACATCAACCTCAGCAACGCCATCATCATCGTCATCATCATCAAGGCCTACATCATAAACCATGAAAAACAAACTTCAATACCACATTAAAAATTAAACAACACAAAATTGCATAAACTCATAAAGACCAACACATCACCTGCAGGTGCATCCTCCATCTCAGCATCGTGGTGGAATGGGATCTCAGGTGGTTCTGGTGCCTTCTTCCACGTCCAGATACCCGCTCTGTTCGGTAGGATCCCACACTGCTTCAGGAGCCTCTCACCAAATATAGCATTCCAGCCTCTGGCGGTCTTCAAGGTCTCTGTTTCCATAGGCACTCCAAATCTATGCAGAATCTTCTGCACCAGAAATGCAAAAGGCAATTCAGCCTTCTTTGACTTGGCTGCCTTCCACATCAGTATGCATATGTAATGCCTCCAGTTCACCTGCTGACTGTGAAGGAGGGCCCACAGGATGACAAAGTCCCCTTCCAGCACCTTTGAGTGAGTATGCGGGCGCTGGAAAATAATATGTGTCACCACATAATGAAGAATGCGAGCAGAAACTGACAAGTTGCTAACAGGATAATGAGCAAAATGACCGGGCTCAGCGTCTGCCCTCCTAGTCTCTGTAACAATGGTCTCCCGGTTATAATCACCAAATATATGATGGTTGTCTCCATCATATAGTGCTGCTCCTGTGACACCATCAAAATCGAACCCCAGTAGCTCCGTCCAGATAGGAGCAGTCATGATGATATCAATCCCGCAGACACGGGAAGTCAGCTCGCCTTGCGAGTAGCCAAGGTTCTGGTAGAAGGCTCTTACCATAACCTCCGAGTATGGGCACCGCATCTCCGCCAGGTGAAGTAAATGTGTCTGCTCAAGAAGCGGCACGATGTCAAAACGCTCTAGGTTGAAGAATGCCGAATCCAGTGATTTCGGTTCGCAGATCTTCCGGGTCATGAAAAACTTCACGAACTTCTCGTGTGAAGGAATGTCATCCTCAAACAAATATCCGAACGTCAAGTCCGGAGCCTGACTCGAAGCAGCCTGGGGCTGAGAGGATGACGACCCATCGTGACGACTCTTGGTTCTTCTCTCGGAATGGGTCACTGGCAGCTTTGAAACGCGTCGAGAGGTCATTGTGTCACACTATTAAACTGAAAAAATAACCAAAATCAGAAATCAGATACATGTTAGGGTTAGGGTTAGGGTTAGGGTTAGGGTTAGGGTTAGGGTTAGGGTTAGATTCAGGGTTAGGGTTAGGGTTAGACAAATTGATAAAATAATTCGGACAGAATCAAATGATATAAACGAAAATACAATGAATCAGAACAGAAATCATAACATAATTGAAAAAACTGAAAAAAAAATTCACCTTTGATCGATTTCAATCGGTAGAAGGCAGAGAGGTTGCAAGGTCCGCGAATGATGATCACAAACAAGACGAATTAGTGCAAGATTCTGCCTGAAATCGCTCAAGATGACACTCCTCCAGCAGCTCTACTCGGGTACCCCTTTTGTGGGTTTTCGAAATGGGGCTGCTGGGGTATTTTAAAACCCTACCGTCGATGTTTACCCGGGTACACTGCTCCGTACCCGGGTAAATAATTCAAACATTTTCCCAGATTCAAGAACTCTACCCGGGTACACCCCTACATACTCGGGTAGATAAAAAGTTTCAAAATTTACCCGGGTAGGTAATGGTGTACCCGGGTAGGCTTCGCGGTCAACGGTCAAACAGGGGCAGATTGGTGTTATGTTTGTTGGGAAGGGTAAATTTTCGAAATAGTTTTGAATGAGGGGCAATTTGGTAATTAATTATTAATTAAGGGGCATAAGGGTCAAAAAGCCCCATTACAAAACCTATATATAACTACTTCACTCCCAGAACAACTAGAAAAAAAACATAACTTCTCACCATGTTTACCTTCAACCCCTTTTCCTTGGAACTTTCTTCTCTGTTTGACTCATCATCGCCGGTGACCGGAAACTTTGGTGGGGTGGTATTTTCCGACGAGGAGGTGCTGCTGGCAGCAAGGAACCCGAAGAAGCGTGCAGGGAGGAAGAAGTACAAGGAGACTCGCCACCCTGTGTATTGGGGCGTGAGGAGGAGGAAATTAGATAAGTGGGTTTGTGAAGTGAGAGAGCCAAACAAGAAGACAAGGATTTGGCTAGGTACTTTTTCCACGGCGGAGATGGCGGCGCGTGCACACGACGTGGCCGCCATGGCTCTGAGGGGCAGGGATGCTTGTCTTAACTTTGCCGACTCTGCATGGCGGCTTCCTGTCCCTGCCACCGCCGAGGCTAAGGATATTCAGAGGACCGCGACAGAAGCAGCAGAGGCTTTCCGGCCACCGCGGAATGAGAGTGTTGAGGCGGTGGCAACCACGGAGACAGTGTTGGAGATGCCAGAGTTGTTGAGAAATATGGCGCTCATGTCCCCAACACATTCCTTGGAATTTGAGTATGAATATGCTGACGTGGAGGTTCAAGATGTTGAGGTGTCATTATGGAATTTTTCAATTTAATTTATTAATTAATGAGTTTATTTTTTATTTTATTTTTTTGGATTGTAGAGTATCTGTATCTTTTTTTGTAGTACGGATACTATTTGTGGGTCAAAATATAGAAAAAGGACTAAAAGAGATTTTCCTTCTGTAACTTTTTTGTGAAAGCAATAGGGTTCGAGTGCATCCCATACCATTTATGTATAAAAGAAGAAGATAATTTTGGGATGTGAATGAGGAAGGGAATAATTTTTGTGCTTTCAACAATTTACTAGCCCTTAATTATTTTCAAATGTTTTCAAGGTTCTCTTCTTAATGTAGTTGGTAACCTTCTCAACAGTTCTTTAAGACTTCACCTTTTGAAGTTATATACTGAAGTTTCATACTCATAGTTTATACCTTACTCGAATTCTATTAACTTGAGATTGTGACTACTAACTGAACAATAAGTCACATCATCTTGCTCTTCTAAGAAAGGGAAATGTTGGTCCTCATTAATTAGTGTCCTTCAGCTAGTGGATGAGAACCCTTATTGAAAATTGTTATGTAAACAGTGATGCTTCCTTCATATATAATTGAAGAGGGTTCATTTCGAAATAGAAAAGGATGTCTTTGAACTTATCTATACATAGAAACCAAAGTCCCTTTCTTTGGGACAATATGGAGCCAAGTGGCCAACTTGACTAGTTAAGCGTGTTTTGATGACCCTTTTCTCTCTTGAAAAGATGCTAAAACCAAAATATCTTGAGAAGATGCTAACTTGTAAACTTACGGCCAAGAGAATTATACATGAAACTTTTGACCTAGGTTAGACTCATTCACGTCTTTACCCAAGTCAATAGTTATGACTTCTATGTCTGATTTTGGACCTTAATCTACTTTTTAGGAACTATTTATAAACATTAGTTTTTTTATTAATATTTTTTGCTTTTCATAAACCGTTCATACATAAACTTTTTGATAGTTTTAACTTTCACGTTTCTGCCTAAACAAGACAAATTTCGTGTGTCTATCTCATAAGCTATATTTTTTTAACCAATCAAACGCTTGGTTGCAATTTCAACTTTTGATGCATAAAATCTAATCTATTATTAGTTGTGTACAAAGACACAGTTGATTGACTTCATTCTGACAAACTTTATACATAATAAGACAGAGGTCTTTATTTGGGAGGGAAAGGGACAAATTTGGATACGTGACCTTGTCGGGTATGGTAGGAGCCAATGCCCAGTGGGGTATTGGGCCCATAGATAGTCCCACTTAGTTGGGACATGACCAAATTAAGCCGAGAAAAATTTCAATGTACTTCCATGTTCTCTTTTATTAAAGAAAAAAAAAATAGAACTAAAAGGAAAATATAAAAAATATAGGAAAAAGTGTTGGCAAAAAAATTAATTTAATGCTTTTTTAATAAAATAATTACGCATCTATTACAGTTTTAAAAATAATTACGGATGTATTGCACAATGTGATGCCTCATTGGGGCGTCTTCCCTTAAGGTGAGACGTCTCAAAGGAGCGTCACAGTGTGCAATAAATGTGTAATTATTCCTAAAACTGCAATAAATACGTAAAAATTTAATTAAAAAGAATTATTTAAATTTTTTTGCTGAAAAATGTTTATCTTTTTAAATGACATAACTTATATCTTTTCACTTTCACAAAAAAGTGAGACCCACACCTTTATATTTTTTTGTCCATTTTCTCTCCTCCTTTATCTATCTCTTTCTTTACATAACTTTATATCTTTTAAAATGATACACACTTTTTCAAAAAATATATGGATAAAATAATTTTTCTTTTTAGTAAAAAATAGCACCTAATTGATGTTACTGGTACATTGAAATTTCTCTCTTTTAAGGCATTGAATACCATGTCCCTTGTGTGTAGAGGAAGAACAAGATTGAAATATAAGTTGACATTGTCTGCTGATCTTGGGTATGACGGGAAGTACATCTTTCCTTTTTCAAAAAAAAAAAAAAAATGATACATTTAATAAAAAAAATTATAAAAATAAGACTAAAGTAAAAATATTATTTTTTAGAGTAAATAACTTTTTTGGTCTTCAACAAATTTTACGTGTCCGTTTTACGATGTCTGCTTTAGTCTCTAACAAATAAAAAGGATTATCGTGATCTCTAAGAAATTTAAAATAGATCTATTTTAGAGCCATATTAGTCCCTCAAAAGGACTAAAATTAGCTTATTTTGAATTTCTTAAAAATCACGATAGACCTTTTTATTTATTAGAAACTAAAGCAGACATCGTAAAATTTGTTGAGAATCAAAAAAGATATTTATTCTAATTTTTTATGATATCCAATAAATAATGTTCCGAGTATTTAGTGTAATAGTAGCACCGAAAATATTTTTATAATAAGGAGCTGCCCATACCTCTGTGCACCTAGGACATAGGCTGTCCCAAAAGTGCACTTGGACTGTAGTGTATGTATAAACCGCCATTGCCTTTATGTTCTCCTCTCTCCACTTCCTTGTTCCTCGCGAACTGTCCTTGTCTGTACTTTCATACCAGCTTCCAACCAAATATGTCACTTACAAAAATTTTGTATTTTTTTTTAGGGATTTTAGTTAGTCTTTTAACATGACAAAAAAATATTTTCTACACACACAATATTTTTGTGAGACCCGTTTTTTTTAAAACAAAAAAAAAAAATTAAAACACGCAAAATGAATCTCTATAACATTACACAATTACTTTTCTTACAACATAACTCTTAGATAAAACTTTTTTTTTATTGAAATCCATTTAAGTAGAGTAGTAGTAATGACAACGTTGACATCATAGTTTTATTATTTGTAACAAAAAAAATACAAAACAATTTAAAACCAACTTGAATTAAATGGAATAAGCATTATTAGTTTTTTAATGGAATGGCCAACTTCTGATGAATTAGCATTTTCATTTCAAAGCTTTTTGTGGTTTAACTAAATAAGCTTGAGCAGCTAATTTGGTCAAATGCTTGATACACATGAATACAAGAACCTGAGCTCTTCATAGTTTATACCTTACTCCAATTAAATTAACTTTAGATTGTGATCACTAACTGAACAATAAGTCACATAATCTTACTAAGCAAGAGGAAGGGAAATGCTGGTCCTCATAATTTCCTTCAGCTAGTGGATGAGATTCCTAATTGAAAATTGTTATGTAAATAGTGCTGGTTACTTCATAATTGAAGAGGATTTATTTGGAACTACAAAGGATGTCTTCGAACTTTTCTATAGAAACCAAAGTTCCTTTCCCTCGTACAATATGGAGTCAAGTGGGGCCAACTTGACCAGCTGAAGCGTGTATCGATGACGCTTTTCTCTCTTGAAAAGTGCTAAAACCAAAACTAATAATTTTAAATATATGAAAAGATGCTTACTTGTAAAGTTACGGCGAAGAATATGGTAGTTAAAATTTTGATTTAAATATTAAATTTTACAATTTTACAATTTTTTTCAATCAAAATTATTCTATCAAAATTTCAAAGACTTTTGCGATTTTACGATTTTTCTTACGTTAGGGTTTTACGTTTTACGATTTTTTATTCTTCTTTCAATTTTAAGTAAAATTCTGATTTTAACTACCATGACCAAGAATTATACACGGAACTTTACTTATGTTAAACTCATTCAAGCCTTTACCCAAATCAATAATTCTGACTTCTATGTCTGATTTTGGATAGGAGTGAAAGTTGGCTGGATTGGACCAAATTTTGCACTGAAAAGCCCAAGTCTATGTCAAAAAAATTCAACTTGTCCTGGCTCAAGCCTAATAAGAGTCTAACTGTTAGCCTGACTTGTCCCGTTTATAAAAAAATAAATGGCCTGGCCTAACCCGTTAGCCTATTAATTTTTAACTTCAAAGCAGAACCATGAATCAACTTCACAAAATATTCAAATTTTGTTGCTAAATCAAAAATAACAATTTTAACGTCCAAACAGAATCATGAATCACAACAAAACTCATCACAATCTGCATTAAAGCCACTTTCAAAAGCAAAATGCTCAAATTAAATAACATATATTTCATCAGATCCAACAAACAAATTCATACAATGTAAATTAAAATAACTACATGAATCCAACAAACACATCATGATGCTTGTAGTAAGTATAATCTCTTCCAAAAACCTTTTAATATATTCATATACACAATCTAACATTTTGAGATGTTGGTTCCTCCTACGTAAGAAATAAAGTCAGATTTCTATTAAAATATAATCGAATATAATTAAGTTATAAACAATTGTAATTGATTAAATTTATATATTCTGTTTTTTTTTTCAAGACATACTTGTTCTATTTTATTTTATTTAAAATAAAAAGTACAATATAGGCTAGCTTGTAGGCTTATAGGCCAGACCTTGTTAAAGTGGACCTACGGTCTATTTATTAAAAAAGCTTTTTCAAGGCCTAAACCTGACTTATTTTATAAAATATACTAGGTCAGGTCTGGCCTGACATAGGCCGAGCCGTAAATCCCTGTAAGCCGACTCGACCCAATTTCACCCCTAATTTTGGACCTTCAATTTACATTTTAGGAACTACGAAGTTACAAGGTAAATTACCAATACATCGGGGTTTTTTTTTTAATATGTTTTGCTTTTTATAAACCTTTCCTTCATAAACTTTTTCACGGTTTTAACTTTCACGCTTCTGTCTAAACAAGACAAATTTCATGTGTCTACTATCATAAGTTATATTTGTTAACCAATCAAACGCTTGGTTGCAATTTCAACTTTTTATTCGGAAAATGTAATCTATAGTTATACATACCGCTTTGCATATATTAAATGAAGAAATCAACATTTTTTTGTTTAACTTCTTATTCTTCTCTTCTTTTTCGTACACTCTATTTTTTCGTTTTCTTCTTGAAGAAATGGTGAGGAAAGGGACAAGAAAAAAAAATCGAGTTTATGAAACTGTATATACAAAGTTGAATTAATTCAGCTAAGTGATGGCGTCTTGCAACCATTACTTTAACCTTATATACAAGGGCGGACCCAGTAGGGGG